AAAAGAGTTGTTGCAAAGGTCTGTAAGAGGCAAACGAAGACATTAAGCCTGTATATATATATATATATATATATATATATATATATCGACTAGGCTAGCTGAATCGATATATGCCTGAATTTCTGTGAGAATGCGCTCCTTTAGAGTATAACATATTGTTAATAAGCTTGTGGTTATCAGACACATAGCTTTAATTTATATTTTCAATAACTTTTCAATCGATAGATTTCGATGTTCAAAGAAACATCGATTTATATCGATTCCCCACCATTTTTGTAACAATATAACAAGAACTAAACACCTGAATTATGTTTGTATGTTGATTTTTCTATATCGAAGGTAGAGCCCATTTGTCCTTTCTTATTGTTAACTACAACTGATCGATAAAATCGTGCATAAAACAACTGCAGGACGAACTTGTTAAGACTAGAAATGAATATCCCACGTATGAATACGTACTTAATTTAAATATGAATTCTCGAATATTAATAACAGACAAAGCTTATTGTTGATCTTCAAGAAGTGAGAACATAGTTCCAGGAATCGATAAATATCGATAACACATTTCTTTTTCATTTTAGTGTATTTGAAGGATAAATGTGTAATGTGTAAACTGTTATAGAATAACATTCGGAGGCTAAACTCAAAATATATTTCATAATTATTAATTAAAGATCATAAAAAGAAAATACTCTTTTACAGGGTATTTCCTCGTGCAGTCATTCAGCTTATCTTTAGCCTCTGCCCTGTTTACCTTTCGATTTCAATTTGATTTTTGTCGTATTGCTCACCTATTCCTCATCGGCTTCTGCATAATTTATTGCATTTAGTTTTCACTCGCTGCTCTGTCATAAATTTCCACTCGCAGTCAAATGTTCGTTCCCCCGCACCACGCCCCCCTCCGCAGGACATTGCCGTGTCGCGTGTGTCCTTAAATTTAGTTTTGATTACGAGTGGCAGCCACACTTTGTGTCCGGCTCTTGCACAAGCCGCTGGCCAAGTTGACCCCCGACTCCCCCTCCCCCGACCACCCAAACGACCTCAGCAGCGTTTGCCATACAATTTTCCTTTTTCCGAGCGCGCGTGGCTCTGGTTGGCTCTTTTTATGTTTGCTTCTCGTCCTGTGCGCTATTTTTATGTCTTTCGCATTTGTATCGAATGTCCTCTGACGCAAATTAATTAAATTATGTAATGGCCGTTGAGTGGGAAAGGGGCAGCGGTGGGGTGCTGTAGGCAGCAGCAGGTGCTGTGGGCGGTCAGTTCTACTTAACCGGTTCTAATTTTAGTCGCCAACTAACAAAAGTTAACGACGACAATTATGGCGGAAAAGTGATGCCAAGAAGAAAGGCCAACCCCCCATTCGAGGAACTCCCAAAGCTTGGGGCAGCGGGTGGGCAACTAATTAGCAGCTATATTCCAATTAATTGTGAAATATTGACTGAACTGTGACCTATAATATGTTATGATGACCTCCTCCTTTCTTCATCAATTGTCCAGAGGTCGCTCGATAATTAGAATTTCCGAAAATTCGAATGATTGCGAAATTGAATTCTTCGACATATTTGCGGCATGCGACGTCTTTTATGTAAGATTTTGTTTAAACATAAGTTATCGACTATCAATAATTAATTAAGATATTCTAAAGAAGGCATATAAATATTATATATATATACATATATGTGTGTGTGTGCTCGTGTTGTGTGTTAGTGTATGCATGCATGTAAGTATGTATATATGCATCCATGCATGCATGCATGTATGTGTGAATTTATGCATGTAATATATGTATGCACGAATTTCTACCAAGTGCTCTACTCCTCGATTCTCAAGAATTCAAGTGGGCTCTGCAGTTTTTCATGCTTAGCTACTTAGTAGTGTAGTGTTTTTTTGTTGCCTTTTTGTTTATTTTTTTGTATGTACATATGTATGTATGTATTACATTCGTACACAAATGTGTATGCACACATGTATGTTCATATGTATCTATACATGTAGGTACATATGTATGTCTACATGCAGGTATACATGTAGGTACATATGTATGTATACATGTTTTAACATATGTATGTATACATGTATGTACATATGTGTATGTGTATGTATGTACATATGTATGTTTTTATGTATGTATATGCACACAAACATGTGCGCATGCATAGATTTATATATGCAAAATTGCATGCATGCATATAATTGTGATCTTTTCATAACACTTATCCAGCTATTCCCAGTTCCTCATACTCCCTATGTTGAAGTATTCACAAAAACCGATTCTTTACGCCAGATATCTGCCTCACGTTCAATCAGAGTTGGCTGAGCCTCATCTACTCTGTTGAATTTGTGTTTACCGCTTGAATACCTCCATAGGTATACCCAAGTATGCCTAGATTTAGCAATTCAGTCGTCTCATAACGGGTTTTTTTACACTAAACAAAGTTAGCGCATTCTCAAATTTATATATATATATATTCGTATATATATGTATATATATATAGCGTTCGTACCTGTATAAAAACATGATGACTCTCGGATATCTACAACAATGGTCCATCATCTGCGTCGGTAAATATTCAATGTATATATATATGTATATAAATATATATATATGTGTATATGTCAGCTTCCTTATTGCAAATGCATTGTGTGTTGTTTTTGTTGTTGCTATTGATATTATTATTGTAAATGTGCCTGTTCACGTGTTGTTCGCTTCATTATACCTATTCACAAAGTGAAAGAGAGTATATTGGCTTTGTGCTATGTCCATTTGTTTAAACGCTTCGTTCTCGAGAGCTACAAAAGCTAGAGACTTGCAATTGTGTATATGTTATCATATATGTATATGCATCAGATGTGGTATTAAATTTGTTTGGCCACGCCCACCAGTAGGCGGTTAAATCGTGAGTAATAGCCATAATAAGCCGTAGTTTTAGATAGTTCAGATAGTCACAACATTTAACAGCTAGGAAACAGATGAGCTGAAAGCTTGAAAGATTAACCAACTGAGAGCTTGCAAATTGGATAAATCCATGGCATCTTCAGATTTAATGCTGCAAGAATAAAATTTCCGTCTGTTTTAACATTTCGATCTCGGAAACTACAAGAGCTACAGATATATATATATATATATATTCTACCTTACCATACTCAAAACGACCTCACACTTTTTTTAAACTCTCCCATTTTCATAATAATTCTCATAATTGATTTAGTGACTTGGTTATTTGGCCATTGCTCGAGGACTATAAGAGTTCGAGACAACAAACTTGGTATGCAGCTTTTGCTAAAGTATTTACACATAAAAATATATAACTTTTTAGTTAACTCTCCATATTAACCGAGTTCGGATGGTATAGTATTAAAAATTCTGTCGGAAAACGAACGAAAAAAATATTTTTAAAATAATTATCTTTCAATTAGCCGAAATGCATCGTTCAAGCTGTTATCGGGCGCGTATTACGCAGTCGTTTGCACCCGATTGAAATACTCGGAACTTGTTTTAATTATAATTATTGTGACTTGTCAGCCATTTGCGACTGTTTTGAATTGGCCAAAATGCGCGTTGCGTTTTTGTTGTTGTCATCGCTTTCTTTGTCAGGGGCGTTGACAAGACGCCGCTGAGACATATATGTGCATATGTATTTATATATAGATCTATATCTAGATCTGATGCATCAGCGACATTTGCCGATTCCGCGAGCTGCTTTCGGTCGCATTGTAAAATTGCCTGAGCTGTTGCACGGTTGCGCAGCCTTAGGAGAATTTTTTAACTAGTCCAGAAATTTGAACAACAAAATGTTAGCCTCAGTCATTAGGCGTTTGCTAAGAAGAGGTGACTAGAAAAATAAAAAGTATATAAATAGAATGAAAATAGATAAATAAATAAAAAAAAAAATTATTTAAAAATATTTAAAACAAATAAAAGTTAAAAAAATAAATATAAAAAAATATTAAATTAATATTAATAAATATGAATTAAAAGAATAAAATATAAATAAAATAAATAAGTATATAATTATAAAAATCTTAACTAACGTTTTGTCTCTTTTTAATTTGTACCTTTACAGATTGCGATTGCGGCTGCGTGGACTCGTACAACGGCGGCAGCGTTGAGTTGCGGCACGGCCAGGTACAGGCAGCGGCAGCAGCAGCAGCGGCAGCCTCCGCTCAGAGCTTTGTGATCAGCAGCAGCAGCAGCGGCAGCCACAACAGCAACAGCATCAGCCTCAGCCTCAAGACGGCGCACGCAAAGGTTGCCACATCGGGGGGGCATGCCAATACGCAGCCCCCCAGCAAACGTTCCAGCAGCGGCGCCGACGGCGACTATCAGCTGGTGCAGCACGAGGTGCTCTATTCGCTCTCTGCCGAATATGAGGTAAATACCTGCGTACTTACCTTTAAGCCAAACCGAACTAAACCCTCTTTTCTTGCTCTGTCTCTTGCAGGTCCTGGAGTTTTTGGGCCGCGGCACCTTTGGTCAGGTGGTCAAGTGCTGGAAACGCGGCACCTCCGAAATTGTTGCCATTAAGATTTTGAAAAATCATCCCTCCTATGCGCGCCAGGGTCAGATTGAGGTCTCGATACTCTCGCGGCTCAGTCAGGAGAATGCGGATGAGTTTAATTTTGTGCGCGCCTTCGAGTGCTTTCAGCACAAGAATCACACCTGCCTGGTCTTTGAGATGCTCGAGCAGAATCTCTATGATTTTCTCAAGCAAAACAAATTCTCACCGCTGCCGCTCAAGTACATACGTCCCATACTGGAGCAGGTGAGTCTCAATGGAGAGAGGACTAAAAAATTAAGTAATAATTCCCTCAATAATTCCCTCTCTCTCTTTCAGGTGCTGACTGCCCTGTTGAAGCTGAAGCAACTGGGCCTGATTCACGCCGATCTGAAGCCGGAGAACATAATGCTTGTGGATCCGGTGCGTCAGCCGTATCGCGTTAAGGTCATCGATTTTGGCAGCGCCTCGCATGTGAGCAAAACCGTTTGCAATACGTATCTGCAATCGCGCTATTATCGCGCGCCCGAGATCATATTGGGCTTGCCGTTCTGCGAGGCCATCGATATGTGGTCGCTGGGCTGTGTTGTGGCCGAGCTCTTTCTGGGCTGGCCCCTGTATCCGGGTAGCTCGGAGTTCGATCAGATACGCTATATATCACAGACACAGGGTCTGCCCACGGAGCATATGCTGAATAGCGCCTCGAAAACATCGAAATTCTTTTATCGTGACGTCGACTCGACGTATCCATTTTGGCGCCTCAAGACCACCGAAGAGCACGAGGCGGAGACGAACACCAAGAGCAAGGAGGCACGCAAATATATCTTCAATTGTCTGGATGATATTGGCCAGGTGAATGTGCCCACAGATTTGGAGGGCGGCCAATTGTTGGCCGAGAAAACGGATCGTCGTGAATTCATAGATCTACTGAAGCGCATGCTGACCATAGATCAGGAGCGCCGTCTGACCCCAACCGAGGCACTGAATCACAGCTTCACGAGGCTCACCCACCTGGTCGACTATGTCTATTGCAACAATGTGAAGGCCTCTGTCCAAATGATGGAGGTCTGTCGTCGCGGCGATTTCCATACGTGAGTAGAGAGAGCTTCCAGCATGAAAGTGTTTATCTATTTTAATACTCTGATTATATTTTTTGACGCAGCGTACAACCAGCTCCCACGCTGGTCACCAATTTCGTGCCCAGCAGCACCGAGAACATGACCTTTACCATCAACAATCAGCTGACCAGTCAGGTGCAGCGCCTCGTGCGCGATGGTCGTCCTTTGGCCTACGAGGGTCTCTATCAAATCTACGGCGGACGCAATGTGGCACGTCAGTATCCGCAGGCGCGCACCGACACGTTCCAGCATCAGCTGGTCTCCAACATACTCTGTCCGCCCTCGTATCAGGCCATGCCCAGTCCCACCAAGCATGTGGTGGCCACAATGCAGCCGCCGTTGCAGGTGCCGCCCCAGCAATATGTCAATGTGCCGGTGCCCGTGTCCATGGTGGAGCCCAGCTCGGGTCAGCGTATGCTGCTCACCAATCGGGTCCAGGCAAGTGGCGTTGCCTGGCCGCAAACCGGGCGCCAGATGGCATTGGTGCCATCCTGGCCGCAACAGGCGCCGGCACATTCGCTAATCGTTGACTCGACGCCGCTGTTCAATGTGGAGGAGATCTATCCCAAGCATCATCTCAACTTGCCGCGCAACGATCTCAAGAAGGAGTCGCCGGCTCACCATCTAGCGTGCGTATCCCAGCTCTACATCTAAACAAATTATCAAATCCTAATTTTCTTTTTAACTCTCACAGCAAGGGCAACTCTTATCGCGTGCCGCGTCACGAGAAGAAGGAACACCAGCAGCTGTCGCCCGTCAAGAAGCGTGTCAAGGAGAGCTCGCCGCCGCATCAGCAGCGCTATCAGCGCGCCGCCCACGTCTCGCCGCAATACCACGCCCATCACAATTGCAACTACGGAGGCGGCTATGGAGCTGGCGCTGCCGGAGCCGTTGTGGCCAGTTCTGCCTCATCGGCCAGCAGTGAGTGTCTGCTTATAGCTCGTAATATCCTTGCAGAATACTCTATAATGCTTGTTAGAGTTATCCCATAGAAAACTGAAAGGTTGATGCAAGGCATAGTTAATTGAGTGATAAAGGTGTTAGTCTAGTAGGGATAGAGAAGTTCTATTTGCCAGTCAACCTAGAAGAGTCGATCTAAACACTAATCAAATTTGTAAAGACAATATCATAATGCTTCCATAGTAACAATCAACCAAAAGGCAGCTTTAGTAAAAGGATAATGCAGCACTTAGAAGACTTAATATAAAGCTCTCACATGAGCCATGGACACAATATGTAAATGTTATATGAAAAGTATTCTTGATTTTCTGCAAAGGATCTTAGGATCTCTTAATAGATCAGCACATATTGTAAATAGCTTTATTGCCTGCCAGGATATTAACTTTATTTATTTCTCTACTTGGCATTCAACTAATATATTATCTACCCTCCTTTTCTAGATATTGTCAATGCCAGTGGCAGCAGCTCGTCGAGCTCGCATCATCACGCGCCCGTGGCACATGCACCACACGGCAGCAGCAGCAGCAACAGCGCCTACAACACCGCTGGCCATCACATTGTCATCAACAATTGCAGCGGTGGGGGCGGCGGTGGCAGCTCCGCTGTGGGCTATAATGCCAGCGGTGGCAGCAGCAGCAGCCAGCCGCCGTTGCATGCGCATCAGCCGCAGCACGTGAAGCAGCCGACAATTACCATACATGACACGCCCTCGCCAACTGCGGTTGTGGGCGATGTGATCACCATTTCGGACAGCGAGGACGAGGGCGCCGATCTACCGCCAAACAGCGCCACAGTCGCGCCCATCAAGCAGCGCGCGCACGCCCAGTCGCAGACCAGCAGCAGCCTAATGCAGCAGCAGCAACAACACCAACATCAACAGCAGCAACATCAACAACAGCAGCAGCAGCAACAGCAGCAGCACTCGGCGAGCAATTCGAGCAGCAATCTGCATTGCCGCAGCAGCGGACAGCCGTTGCATGTGCAACATCAGGCCGTTAATTATGGTAATGCACACAGTTCCAACAACAACAACAGCTCCGCGAATGCCACCAGCAGCGGCAGCAGCAGCAGCAGCAATCAACGTTTGGTCAGCAAATGTAACAGCCAGCTGGGCGGCAGTAGCGGAGCTAGTCATCATAGCCATCATAGTCACCATAGTCATCACAACAACAACAACAACAACAGCAATCATCAACAACAGCAGCAACATCACGGCGGCAGCAACGGCAACGGCAACAGTAGCTCTAGCAGTAGCAGTAATATTAACAGTAGCAGTAACAGTCAGCAGTTGCCGCCGCCGCCGCTGCCGCTGCCCCATCATAGTAGCAGTAGCAGTAGCAGTAGCAGTAACAGTAGCAATAATCATCATCATCATCATCAACAACAACATCATGCAGCCTCGCTGGGCGGAAGCGGAAGTGGAAATGGAAATGGCAATGGAAATGGCTTTGCTGCAGCTGTCCTAGACAACAACTGCGCGCTGCAGGCAACACATCAGCAGCAGCAGCAACAACAACAGCAGCAGCAACAACAGCAGCAGCAGCAGCAACTACAACAGCAGCAGCAGACCTGCTTTCAGCCTAGCTCCCACAACAACAGTCATCACAACACCACTTCCAATTCTGCTTCCACTTCCAACCAACAACAACCACCACCACCGCAACCATTATCACAACCCACCCACCACCATAACCATCATAGTCTACAGCTTAATCCCGCACCCATATCCATAAACAGCACACAATTTGGCACCAGCTCCGCCTCCTCATCCGCCTCCATATCCACATCCACCTCTGGCCTTTGCCTTAACCAGCATAATGTACCCTTACCCATACCCGTTCCTTTAGCTGTGCCCGCCTCCGTTTCCACCGCCCTTGCCACGACCACGTCTCAGTCGCATCTCAGTCGTCATAAGTCAACGCAACAACAGCACGTCCATCTAGTAATTCCATGCGTAACCGTAGGTGATCACGATCCGGAAGATGCGCGACGACGTCATCATGCCGCAGCAGCCGCCGCCCTGGCCGTGCCCAGTCCCAAGCATCATCATCACCAGCAGCAGCCGCAGCAGCAGCAACAGCAGCAACATCATCATCACCAGCAGGTGCAGGTGCAGCCGGCACAGCAGACGCCGCACTATCAGCCACAGCCGCCGCCGCCGCAAGCCCAATCGCAGCTGCAACCACAGCAGCAGCAGCAGCAGCCCAGCATCAAATACGAGCCGGGGCAATCGCAAAAGAAACGTATTCTGGCCATGGCTCAAAGCGAGTGCAACTATCAGCCGCAGCCGCAGGTGCAGATACAGGTGCAACAACAGCAGGCACCGCCGCCGCCCGTTGCCAGTCTGCCGCATATTCCAACCAAACAGGAGCCGCCCGAATTCTATTCGGACTACGCGCCACAGCAGCAGCAACAGCCGCCACAGCAACAGCTGCAACTGGAGGCTAAGCGCAGCTCCTGGGCAGCCGGCTCCAGCGGCGCAGCCATGCCGCTGGCACATCCGAAGCGCGAAGCGCCCTCCGTTGCGCCCGTCAGCTATGTGACGCCCACTGTGGCTCCGCCGTTGGCCCACTCGAAGAGCAGCTCGAGCAGCTCCTCGTCGATAAGCGCCGCGGCCGCCGCAGCGGCTGCAGCTGCTGCCGCTGCCGCCAGTGTGGGTCCGCCGTCGTGGGGCGCACCGCAGGTCTATCGCCAGCCATCGCAGCCGCCACCAACATCGGCAGCTGCTGCCGCTGGCCAGCCGCCAGCTGGGCCATCGCATCATCATCATGGCAGCCACAGTCATCATCATCATCACCAGGCGGGCACGCCGCTGGGCGGCTCACCCTCATCGACGGCCGCTGCGGCCATGCTGCAGACGGACATTTACGCACAGGGCGACATGTATCGACGTCCCACGGTCTACGTATCCCAGGCCGCGCCCACATACGCCTATGCGAATCGCACGGTGGTTGCGCCACCGCCAGCACACAACAGTTCCAGTCGACAGGTGGGTGCAGAAACTAAAAAATTGCTCATTACATTCAATATGCTTTTCAATTTGTTAGTTAAGTGCCTTTAATTACCTACGAATTTATATTTAATTACAATTTATGTTTAGTAAAAATTGAAAGTAATTTAAATGTAAATAATGTAGTTTCTTCAAGATTGCCGAAATACTTTAAATCCTTTCAATTTGCCAGTTCTTTGTCTTTAAATAACTACATACAAAATATTTAATTCCTCCTAATATATATTTAATTACTAAAGAATGAAAAGTAATTAAAATGTATTATTGTAGTTTGTTCGATTCTTTAAATCCTTATAATTGCCAGTTCTTTGTCTTTAAATACCTCAATTATTTATATTTAACTACTCACAAGATTTCCAGTAATTAAATTGGTTTCTAGTTACTGAAAATTGGCAATTAAATTAAATTCAATGCTGATTTAGTCAACATTTAATACAGACTAAATACTTACTAGATACTTAATTACTTATAATAAGATTTAGTACTCCATTTGAATTACCTAAGTAATTTAATGTAATTAAAATTTCCTGCATATGAAGCTTCTACAGATCTGACAGTTAAGTTAAGTATACACTAAATTGAGGAGCTTCCTTGGGTATTTAATTCTTTGATTATTTATTAAGAATTAATTAATTAACCATAGTATAAATTCATATTAAAATTCAAGTACTTTATAAACCTTAAATAGATCTTACTCCGATTATATTTATTGTTGATCCAATTGAAATTTGTTCTCTTTCGCACTCTCAGGTCATACCATCCCATCCGTTGCCGGCTCACATACAGATCCCGACACAGTACAGCCAATTTGGACCATTGAGTCCCGCCCAGGTAGCTGCCAGCAAGCATGCAGCGCACTTTGCGCCCACCAACATATGGTATGGAGCTGAGTAGCTTGCAGGGTGAACGAACGCGGGTTGACGAGGATCCCGGATCCCAGAGGCCACCACTGACAAGAACACAGCAACAACTACAACACAGTCTCTCCCATCCCCCCCAAAAAAAGAAAAGAAAAGAAAAACAACCATCATCACCACTCTCCACACAGCCTAGAACTTGATAACATGATTGATTGATTGATTGATGCTCTCGAGTGAGTCGAATATGCCAGATTTATGGCCATACAAAGTGTGGCCCATTTGAGCTGGTTTTATGTGTTAGCTAACAAGAGAACGGTTTCACTAATCATATGCTTCTTTTACTTGCGCTCCTATAGATCTTTTATGGCCTCGGCTGATGGCGACGACCACGACGACGACGACGACAACAGCAACAGCAGCAGCGGCAACGGCAACACGGAGGAGCAACAGTTGCAGCAGTTGCAGCTGACGCAGTGTTGGTGGTTTATGCTGCTCATGCAACAGAGCATCATACAGCACAACAGCAACACGTTGCACGAAACAACAGCTGCAACAACCACAACAACAACAACAACAACCACAACAACAACAACAACAACAACAACCACAACAACTACAACAGCCAACACAAGTGTTGCACGCAGCAGTCGCCGCAAACGTTAACAGAAACAAAAAGAAAACACCTGTCCGCACCAAACCCGCCCACCAGTTACAGTTGTTTGCTTTTTTTTCTGCTTTTATTTTAATTTCGTCAACATTTTGAAGATTGTCGATTGTTCCGTAATTCCATTGCGAATTATGATTAAATAATTAATCTTTTTTTTTCCTGTTTTAAATAAAAATGTCAAGCATTTTCTACACGCAGTTTGGAGTGTAAAGTGCATAGTTTATACACACACACACACACACATGTAATTAACACACACACATACAGACTTTGCAAACTGTAAAGAAAAACGAGCGTAAACATTTTCCAAAGCGAAAATTGTTTGCCATCTTTTCTCTAAAAAAAAAAAAACAAAAACTAAAGCGTTTCACTATGTGTGTTGTATATTTTTTATTAGAACTTCTAAGTAATACACTGCATATGTATATGTATATGCATATGTATATATATACATGTGCCTAAGTACATAACTACGATAAATATGTATTCTATATATATTATGATACGTCTAAGAACCACATGCATACATATATATGTAAAACTACAACTAAAACTAAACCTAACCTAAATCTTAATATTATAAATACTATTACACAAACAAAAAAAAAAGAAACACACACACACACAAGCATGAAACTAATGCAACATTATAAAATTTAATGCAAAAATAATGTTTCTGTGCATTCAGAAAAACAAAAATACTTAGTGCAAAACGCATAGTAACATTTTTTTAGACTCTTTTTAGCAAGTACCTCAAAATATTTAAGTAAAAAGCAACAACAACACGAAGCAGCAGCAGCAACAACAACAACAACAAAGCAAAAGCAAAACAAAACAAATATTGATGCGAAAATTGCCTTTTACAACAACAAAACAAACGAATAAGCAAAAGTAATAACAAAATATTGTAAACAAAGCAAAAAAACAACTTTAGTGAGATAATCATACAACTACAAAATGATATATGATACCGCAAAAACCTTACTAGCAATCAAAGCATACATATATATCTATATACATATATATATATATAAATATATGAAACAATATTGTAGGTAAACCTAGCGATAACCGAAATAACTGATAACTGAACATGCGATATATTCTAGCTAATCTAAACATAGACATACGGTTTTTTTTTTTAAATATTATTATTATTATGTTTTTAACCACACACATAAAATACACTCTCATAGAACTTAAAGAGTTAAGCCGACCCACAAATAGATATACGTATAGCTGGGGCTTTGTACAAAACAAAAAGAGAAGAAGATGCAGAAGAACATAACAAATTAGATGCATTGTATTTAGCAATAACTTTAAATATATATATAAATAATGGATTTTTAAAAATCAGATCAGGTAACAGGTCAGTGTTGGAAAACACCAAGCAAAAGCTTGCTTAGATAAAAAAAAAGCACACACACACACAGAACTCTGCTCTTTTAATTTGTGTAGCCCCCTTTTTTGTATTTAAACCTGGTTTCTAAAATGTCTATTTTTTTGTTTTCGTACTTCGATCGAGAACCCAAACCCAACTTATAAGAATGTTTACTAAAGTACAAAACGGCAAGCAATCTAGCTATAATTGAACACTGATAAAACGTCTTTTAAATATGTTTCTAATTTAGTTTTATTCGTATTTGTATTATGCCTATTATCTTTAATCCTAACTCACTTTTAATATGTTTAACGCAGAGATTTGCTTTCTTGTCTTTAGTGTATATAAAAACTGATACCCTTTTTTTGTTTTTGGATTGTTTCAATAGTACTACATGCTATATATATACTCATATATATATATGCTATGCAGACAATTATGATACTATCTACCTATGCGCATATATATATAAAGTTCTTGTTAATTAGGTTTCTTACAAGTATTTTGTAGTTAGTCGTAACTTTGTCGCTATTTATATACTCTATTTTTTTTTTAACAACTAAGTTGTGGGCACTTCCTATTATGATACTAAAAGAATATATATATATATATATATATATATATATTTATGTATATATATATGTGAACCCCAGAAATCGCAACACACATGTTTCAATGTAGCCAGTTTTCGATGGTTTACAGCGAATCGCGTTTTATTATTAAACATTAATTAAATTGTAATTATCGAAATTATGATTATACGCATGAATATATAACTATATATATATGATAATTAATCAGCTGTGCACGAAATAATTGTAACGAAACAACAACAAATTTAAATATATATATTTATATAGATATTGCAACAAGAAATGCAGAAACACAGATCTATTTGAAAGTCTAGCATATAATTATTGTGATGTAGTTTTTAAAATCGATGCAAATACAAATTGATGCAACAACAACAACAACAACAACAAAATGCGTGTCGTCGGAATTTTTGTCCTTGTCGTAATTAGCCAGTAACGAAATTAACAAATACAAATTACAAATTACAAATTACTAATTAATTGATTATGCATAATCCATACGGGCATACATATATAAATATATATATACATATATTATGAATATAAAGTAAAACAAATTAATGTTAACTATTTAGTACGCAAAACAAAACAAAACAAAACAAATGACTAAGCAAAAAGGCAACAATATAACAAAATATATATATATTTAATTTATATTCTGTAATTTTTTAATTTTAAAATTCCTTTTGTCGACAAACAATATCAAGTTTTTTGTGTAGAAAACTAATGGAACGTTTGATTAGCAGCTGTAGGCGTTAAATAAGAGAACGTTAGTGTTGTGACTATATACGATAAATCGTGCATACATATACATATACGCTATAAGGATCCGATAACTAGGAGATCTAGCTGATAGTCGATGCTCCGATGTTTGGCATAATTATATACATATATATCTCTATATATATATATATATACTATTTTGTGCATAAAGAACAACAACAATGGCAACAAGAAATGTTAGTTAGTCAAAAGCAGCTGCCACATGTGGCATGCCTCATGCGTGGCACGTGTTGGCCAGCTTTTGTTTTATTTCTTGTATGTTTTTTTTTATGGCTTGTGTTGTTGGTTTTCTTGGAAAATGCGCGAGATGAAAGCGTTTAATTTAGCTTAACGGCATTATAGGTGTGTGTTTTATAGAAATTTTATGGACCATTAATAAAAAACAAATATCTTTAACAAAAACAACAAGAGAGCAACAACATTTGCGTTTAACAAAGTAAATACAAGTCTTAAATCTAAGCGTTTGATGTAAAAGCAATTCGTGCTTGCAACTTTGTCGTTTATTTAATTGTTTTTAGTCTTTTTCCTTTTCTTCTCAATATACGCATATGAACATAAAGTATACACTATTATAATTAATTAACAACAATATATCGTTACTGATAAAAGATAATAAACTTTTCAATTTCTACTCAATGTTTTTAGAGAAGCAACAAGCTAAAAATCAAGAACGCTTTAAATGTAACAAAAACGAAACGTTAATAGACTTAAAAAGTGAAAATACCATAAATATAAAATTAATTACAATTTATGAATAACACTCACTAAATGCAAAAATACACAGACATAGACATACATATACATATATGTATATATATATACATATGTATGCATATATCGTTTGTATTTAAGCGCAGAGAGTACATTTTAAATAAACAATGTTTTAACTGTGTAGCCTTAAAATCAATTTACAAATCAACTTCAAATACTATACGTATGTACTATATACATATATATATATATATATATCTATACTTAAATTATGATGACATGCGAATCGATTTCGATGTTCAACTACGTACAATATTTCTATGTACTTCAAAATATGTCTAAATATATAGTTGATTTGCCTTTCATTTTGTATAATTTTCTTTAAATTTTACTTTTTCAATTGTATTTTTATCACACACACACATGCATAACTTTTTATATTGTATACCATATATAAACATAGCCACAATCCCCACAACTTACTATTATCATAAATGATTATAATATTTACACTTATTTCCTAAATGCAAAAACATAAATACATGCATATATTATTATCGAAAGCATATTTATTGTTAACGTCTTTATTTATTGTATCATTTGTTTTGATTTTATTGATTTTCTTAGCAACTAGTTAAAATGAGATTGAAAATCAACAAGCTAATCAAAAGTTTAAACAAAATCAAGAACAAGAAGAAGAACAACAACAACAACAAATACAACATATATCCCACCAAATTAATTTTAACAATTAAATAGCTATAAAATGAAAAGCGAACAAAGGGACAATTTAATAAACTATTTAACTTAATAATATCGAAAATTGTGCAATATGATATTAAACAATTAGCATTCGCTTTAGTTTATGTTTAGCTCATTCAGTTATTGACCGATCGAGGCTATAGCTGCAGCTATATATATATATACGAGATATATATAGATAAACACTTTAGTTTAGTTCACGAATCGAATCAGGTTTCTGTAGTTGCCAATAGATTGTTAATTATTTCCAATACACGCACACACACACACACACACACACTCCTATGCCACATACATATGTGCATGTATGTAGCTAAGTTGTTTGACCAATTCAAAAGACGAACAATTGATGAGCTTTTATAAATAATTTGTCGCTTTGGAATATGTGTTTCATACGCAAGTTATGTGCATTTATCAACTAAAGCAAACGAATAACCAATAATAATTTATTAAGTCTAGTACATGCCACATTCAAGTACGTCTAGTTAGTGTTTAAGCCAAACACACACACACACATAATTGAGAAAATTACAAACCAAGTAACCGAACCATACGAACAACATTTGATGGATCTATGAAAAAATTTGGTCGTATATGAATTTGAATATGGATCGAAAACGTTTTTTATAAACATTTGACGCTGACAAACAAGATTGATAAGAACCCGTCCATAATTAGATTTTGTTCTTAAACAACAAAAACAAATTGTAGAAGAAGAAGCAAAAGAAGATAAACAGCAAATCAACATATAGACGAATACGCATCGGCTCTATATAGCTATTAGATATTATTGTCGGCGCTCGAAGCTCGTCTTAGATTAAAAGTTAGCTCCAAAAGCTCTCAACGTGTTTTTTTTCTTTCAACTCGAACTATAATATTGATATTTGTATAGAAACTTGGCAATTTCCATTTAAAACTCTTGAAAAAAACAAAAAATACACACTTGAAATTGTGGTTCGGATTGATATTAGATGTTTTTAATAATGAAAAAACAAAAAAAAAAAGTAAAAATAAAACACAAAAACTAATTACGATATATTTACATACACAATGCAAAGAAAGAAAAAAGAAGATAAAATACAAACACATATTAAAA